AATAAATAAATAAAAAATTTGATATTAAAATGTCTAATATTAATAATATAATTTCATATTCCATAACAGAGTACTGTACAATATTACTTTACGACTACTAATAACAATACTACTACTACTACTACTACTACTACTAATCATTATTTTTATTATTATTATTATTATTATTATTATAACAATTGATATTATTTATTATGTATTATTATTGTTATTGTTATTAGTATTGTTATAAGTAGTATATAATTATCAATAAATATTATACGATTACATAATATAAATACACTAATCAATAATTATAGTGATTTTATGTTAATTCTTATTCAGAATAATGTGAATAAACAAATGTAATATTGTCTATTGTTTTAACTGTATTAATATATAATTCAGCTGAAGTGCATTCAGCTGAGATTCAGAACTGCAATGTTTTCAAGCTTATATTTTTGTTTATGGCATTTTAATTAAGATTTATGAACCTTTTCAAACTAGAAGACCATCCACCAACACCATCCATCCAAGTCATATTTAAGAGTAAATGTAAATGTAAAGAGTTTTTACTATATTTATGGGGATACTTATGGGGATTTACTATATTTATGTTTAAAAAAAAAAAGAAAAAGAAAGAAAGAAAATAAAAAGAAAATCTTTGCAAGTATAGCAAAACAAATACGCACACTATTTCTTATTTACAAGTTCTTTGGGAATCATGTTGCATTTGAGCACAAACTCCCTCCTCTTTAGCCACACATCCAACTCCACACCACTGTGTTCAGAGAGAGAGAGAGAGAGAGATGACAGCAGACATCCGTCTGTTTGCCTGCGCTGCAAATGAGGGCCGGACCGATGCTATCTGAGACTCCACACACATTCAGCTTTAAAGAAGATTACAACTGTCCACCTCACACCCACTTATCATCTGCTAGTTATTTCCCTCACGCTTTCTGCCGTGCTTTTTTCATCATTCTGTGGCAAACTGAGAGTCCGTTTATACAGACAAATTCAGACGAGATGAACATCAGAGGAAAATCTAGAAATTGACATGTTAAGTGATTCAAATGAGTGTTTGTACTCCAGCAGGACCGTTACATAACTGAGGAAATCTGTGTGAAAAAGACATCAGACCATTTTGAAACAATTAGCATGCGTTTTTTTACTTGGTTTGCATGTTTGCATTTATGAGAATAGCAATGGTATTGTTATCGGATTGTTTGGCATTGGGTTTGTTTACTTTGTGATGTCAGAACAGATTTATGGATCCATTTTACTGTTAGTCAACATTTCCCAGCCAGAAATTCACAAGCTCATATACGTCATGCTGCTCGTGGATGAGATTTTGAATATGAGTGACATGTTGGTGCAGAAAATGCTTTCATATTTCAAGATCAGGGTTGGTTTATTTTCTAGGCTTTTGTTGTGGATAATTGCATGTCACTTAAGATGGATATTTTTGCTCTGTGTTGCGGATTTTGTTTGTCGAGTTTCACACGAAACAAGAAGTGGGAAATAACCGTCGGATATGAATGCACGATGCTGTAAATCAGATTTTATCCCACAAATGTCATCATGCCAGATATTACAAAAAGAGATTTTCTTTTTGTTAATAATAAAAATTATACAAAAAATGTTTATCAATAAAAAAAATTAAAAAATGTTTAAAATTACATTTTGCTTGAGACATTTCTCATTTTGCTTTCTGAAAGCAAAAGCAACAATAATATGTACGTACTGATTGTTTGCATATTCATTCATTTTTATTTCGTGTTTGATATGTTTAATGAAATTTGCAATAATAAAAATGATGTTTAACAATAAAAAATACAATTAAAAATGTAAAAAAATTTCAATTAATTTAAATTTGATCTTTTGCAGTTAATTAACAAATAATGTTAATTTAGTCAAATTAAATTGTATTTCAGTCCAAGTACAATGGACTAAGATTCATAAAAATGGCATTCCTAAATATTATCACACATATTCATCAAGAAACAAAATCTTTGACTGGAAATCATCTCTGGGAATTGATGATTCATTCATGTTATTCTCTCTTGCATTTCCCCTCTCATTTGCTCAGCTAATCATCCACCAATCTTCCACGCGCCGCGGGACGGCCTGCAGACCTTTGTAGGTGAGAACTTTGTGTACCAATTCACAGCCACGGATCCCGAGGGCTCGGCCATGCTCTTCCAGCTGGAGACGGGGCCTCCCGGGGCCTCAATTTCCCCAGCCGGGCTCCTCATCTGGAAAGTGGACGAGGAGGAAACACGCAGTTTTCAATTTACTGTGTCTGATGAGTGTGATGCCCAGAGCAGATTTACCGTGGAGGTGAGACACATCGAGAAACTGGCGCCCGACTGATTTTTATGTTTTGGTGAAATGAGATGCAAACATAGGTTTTGTAGAAATAATGATGCAAGCCTCTTCTGGGATGTCAACATTTTTATTTTATTTTTGAGTTATTTGTGCACCCTCATGTCACTTCAAACCTGTATGCTGTTATAACTAATTATTGAGTCAGTGTGTTAAATTAAATTAAACTAAATAATTGAATTGAATTGAATTGAATTGAAGTATTTTTTAATTGAATAAATAAATAATATAAAAATATTTTTAATTTTTATTTATTAAATTAAATTAAATAAATAAAAATAAAAAATTCACGAATTAAAAAATAGTGATTATATATATATATATATATAATTTATTTGTATACTTTTAGATTTTTTTATATTATATGTTTGATATGTTTAAATTCATAAATATTTATGAATAAATATAAATTTATAATTATGAAAAATATTTGATTGTGTCTAAATTAATAAAATAATTATTTATTTGTGAGTTTTATTTATAATAACAATTAAAAATAATAAAAAAATAAAACATTCTGAAATTACATGGCCAAAGCTATTTATTTATTTATTTATTTTCCATTATATGTTTAAATGAATAAACATTTATAATAATAAAAGTGAAAACTGCTTATAAAAATACAATAAAAAAAAATAAACGAGCAAAAATCCTTTCTGAATCTTTTTTATATTTTTAAATAAATATTCATTACAATAACAATAATTAAAAACTATATTTTAGTAGCATATGAGCATTGCATAATGTTGCATCGCATTTTTGTCACATATTATTGTACGAGTTGAAGTAATAATGAACTATGCTTTCCTAAACTCTTTTTGCCCTTTTATTTGGGAAATCTGATTCATTAGTGAATAAATGTGTTCGTCGCTTTGGATAAACGTGTCTGCTAAATGAAGAAATGTAAATGCCAAGCTTTTATATTCACCTATTTCATGATCTCTTTCAAAGATTTGTAATTTATTCATAGAAAGGTCAAATTAGTCTTTGAAACAGGACTGGGATATTGTCCTGCAAGGCCTTTTTCCTTCATTAAATGACAAGTGATTGGCCTAGATGATATTAGACAAGTAAAAATGGTACTTTGTTGCATATGTACCATGGTAATCAATAAGGTACAGCCTTATTTTTAATAGTTTTTTGTCAAGCTCCTATTTTTAAATATCTTATGGCATAAGGACGGCAGAACTCAGCTGCCCAGATTTTCCTGAGTCTTATGTCACAGCAATGCGGTGCAACGAAAGACAAATGTCCTCTGTGGGCCCTAGACGGCTAACAAGCATCTGCTTCCTGCCTCCTAGTGCTTATTAAAGACTGTCTGAGTTTGAGAGATACAGTCGTTTGAGGACAGGAGAGAGAGGGACTGTATGCATTTAGCAACACTGCTGAACAAAAAAAAGGTTGACATTTTGGGTCAGTTAGGCACTTCATACATACACACACATATATATATATACAGTGGGTACGGAAAGTATTCAGACCCCCTTAAATTTTTCACTCTTTGTTATATTGCAGCCATTTGCTAAAATCATTTAAGTTAATTTTTTTTCCTCATTAATGTACACACAGCACCCACCCTTGACAGAAAAACACAGAATTGTTGACATCTTTGCAGATTTATTAAAAAAGAAAAACTGAAAAATGCTCAGTATTTAGTAGAAGCACCCATTTGATCTAATACAGCCATGAGTCTTTTTGGGAAAAATGCAACAAGTTTTTCACACCTGGAATTGGGGATCCTCTGCCATTCCTCCTTGCAAATCCTCTCCAGTTCTGTCAGGTTGGACGGTAAACGTTGGTGGACAGCCATTTTTAGGTCTCTCCAGAGATGCTCAATTGGGTTTAAGTCAGGGATCTGGCTGGGCCATTCAAGAACAGTCACAGAGTTGTTGTGAAGCCACTCCTTCGTTATTTTAGCTGTGTGCTTAGGGTCATTGTCTTGTTGGAAGGTAAACCTTAGTTCCAGTCTGAGGTCCTGAGCACTCTGGAGAAGGTTTTCGCCCAGGATATCCCTGTACTTGGCCGCATTCATCTTTCCCTCGATTGCAACCAGTCGTCCTGTCCCTGCAGCTGAAAAACACCCCCACAGCATGATGCTGCCACCACCATGCTTCACTGTTGGGACTGTATTGGACAGGTGCCTGGTTTTCTCCACACATACCGCTTAGAATTAAGGCCAAAAAGTTCTATCTTGGTCTCATCAGACCAGAGAATCTTATTTCTCACCATCTTGGAGTCCTTCAGGTGTTTTTTTAGCAAACTCCATGCGGGTTAACTTAAATGATTTTAGCAAATGGCTGCAATATAACAAAGAGTGAAAAATTTAAGGGGGTCTGAATACTTTCCGTACCCACTGTATATATATATATATGAGTTTGTAATAATAGTATTTATTTTAAGTATTTTTTTTGTTAAGATAATATTTTAATATGAATGAGAATATACTAAATTGTAATTTCATAAATTATAAAATGTAATATATGTATGTATTTTTATTTAATTTTCAAAATGTTGTATATGCATAATAAAAATTCAAATAAAAATACTCAAATTAATATCAATATATTTTATTATTTACGATTAATTAAATATAGTATATTAATATTTAATATACTGAATATTTATATACAAAATTATGTTAGAAATTATAAATGATATAAAAATAAATACAATTTTTGTATTCAATTTTCAGACTCTTGCCTGAAAGTTACACGGTTTTGAGACACTAAGTGAACTTTGTTTTATTTCTATTTGCGTTACCTCACACACAGGTGATAGTGCGGCCGTGTGGCTGCATGAACGGAGGGACATGTGTGACTAACATCAAGTATCCAGCGGGCAGTGGCGAGTACCTGTGTGTGTGCCCGGCGGGTTTCCATGGCGACCTGTGCCAGGAAGAGCAGAACGAATGCGGCTCCAGTCCGTGTGGAGCAGGAGTGTGTGTGGATCTGATCAACGGGTTCCAGTGCCAGTGTCCGGCTGGACTCACAGGTATTTACTTCAACCTGCAATGCACAAATGAAGTTCCATTTTCTTTCCTTAACTTTTCGGAAATTACCATTTATGGAGATTCAGAACTGCAATTAATCTTTTTACGAACATGTTGGCCCAACTGGAAACTATATCTCGCCTTCCTTCTGAATTAATTTGTGAAAAATACATGTTTGATCACTCAAAAGTGCTTATGGCCATGTTGTTTATGTTAAACTGAATAGTTTTTTTTATGAGTAAATAAACGAGTATATATATATATATATACTCGCTTATTTATTTATT